ATGTTTTTAGGACTTTCTTGTTTGTGAAGTATTTTGTATTTTTTAACAAATTATCTGTTCTTTTTAACCTTTTAAATTTTTGTATTATTTGTCACTCCTTCTAAATTTGTTATTTCATCGTGCGCTTCTGTGCTTTTAGCTTTTTCTTAGTTTTTAAGTTTTTAATATATAATATTAATATTAGTCATTAAGTAATTAATATTAGTGTGTTCCTGTGCTTTTGGTTTTTTCTTAGTTTTTAAGTTTTCAATATATTAATATTAGTCAGCGGTGTCGGAAGCAAATTTTTGATGGGTGGGCTCGTTTCTTTTTTTTAGACAGTGGCTCGAGCCCACGCAGCCCACACGGTTCCGACGCACGGTACCGACGCACGGTTCCGACGCACGGTTCCGACGCCACTGATATTAGTCATTAAGTAATTAATATTAGTTAGTTATTTCTGCTTAGTTTAGTTCAATACTTCTGTGGTTTTCTCCACTTAGATCTTTAGTTTTTGAGATATTATTTATACATAACTATGGAATTAAATTACTTATAATTATGTATAACAATTATTATATTTTCAAACATTTCATAACTGTAATTATAATTGTTAATATAAATATAATTTTATTTGTTCTTTAAACATATGTAATATATTTAAAAATATATATTTTGTATTTTGTATGATTTGTTCTTATTTCCAATATTAAAAATTATTCAGGTTTTTTGGGCTGTATACGATACGTACAAATTTAAAGGTAATGCCAGGGGTTAATTTAAATATTGTACATAAGCTGCCATCTATTTTTAAAAATTTGTATTGCAATCGAGGTAACATCAAATCGCCGAACATAGCGCAATAGATTTATACTTGTTTATCTATGGCTATCAGTGTGCGCTTTTCAAGCATTTTTATATGTTTGTGAAAGAAAAGGATTATTAAAGAAAAGTTATGAATAATAATAAACAAGTTACAACAAAAAAGTTAAAGTTCAATGGTTATTGTCATTTTAAAATTTACTTCAATGTACTTAAAATACAGGTAAGTACAATGATAACATAAAAAAAAGAAATGCAGTAAATATTTATACGGTTGAGTTACTTAAAACTTATGTCGAAATATCGAAATAGTTCTCAAAAACAATATTATAATAGTGATAAAAATATTTTCTCAAGAGAATAAGTATATAATATTTTAATTCACTAATTTTTTTTATCATTTTTGGTCAAACTATAGACTTGAACCTTATCATAAAGACAGGATTTGAGTCCATCCCCCACCACATAAAATTCCAGTTGGAAACAAACAACTGTTCACGTTGATTTAATTTCCATTTGGCTGTAGGAAATTTATAGAATTTACATTCGCTTATTCTACTGTTGTTTTTACAATCTACTACACACAACTTCGTTGTCTCATTTTTATTTAATTTATTTAAATATGAAATAAAATAATATTTCAGTTGTATTTGTTTACAATTTTACTTATAGTAGCCTCTCATAATGCTCAAAGTGACCACTACGAACGCTTTAGTTGATTTGCTTTCCCCTTCCATACCTTCACGCATAGATAAACAAACATAACAAATAAAGTTGGTAAAGCGCATTTGTTCGTTCTATGTTTGCCCGTATGGTTTATTTTTTTTATTATTTTAATAATTTTTACAACTGTTCTGAAACAGACAACAAGTAAAATATCGAAGGTCTTACCTATTGTTGATTAATGCCAAAGAAATTTTCTTTTCAATCTGGCCTTGGTAGAGATTGGTACAGTTGCTCTGAAGTTTTCTGGCAAGCTAGTTTGGGTGGTCAGCTAGACGATTTTTATATTTATGTAAGTAAGCTATTATTTCATCCTTAACTGTGCTAGTGCCTGTGTGTTAACCAATTTGGAACATACTTTGGTGCTTTCAAAATTTCTTTTAATAACTTGTTTTAAAATTTTTTAATTATTCAAGAGTTGAAAGTTGGTTTTCATAGCAGTATCTCCTATGTCCAAATTGGTTTAATGATGGCTTTATACAGGTAAATTTTATTATGCGTGTCAAATTTTGATTTTCGTCCAAGGAGCCAAAAATATCTTTTTCTGGCTTCTTCAAGCTGCTTCCTCTTTTTCTTAATGTGTTCTTTCCAGATTAGCCTTTTATTCAGGTGTAAACCTAGATATTTTACTGTACCTGATTGATCTATAATTTTGTCATTAAATCCTACTGCATGACAAGTTTGGACTTCCTGCTGTTAACTTCTATTCTCCACAACCTTAACCAATTTTGTATTACGTCAAGATGATTATGCAGTATTTTTGATGCAATTATTGGATCTTCATGTATTGCCAGAATGTCATCTTTCTGTGGCAGGTCCGCGGTGTATATGAGATAAATCACTAATTTTACTTTAGTATTATAGCATATAATACTAAAGTAAATAATAATAATTATAGCATATTTCAAGTCGAGTCTTGTCACTGACCTTAAAGCACTTATGCCAAGCAGTCAGAAACTTGATTTACTTCATTTTTTGGTAATTTTTGTAAATTGGAATATAGTTAGTGAAGGGCTACTGTAAAAAATTAGTGAAGATAGGGCTACTGGAACCGAAAGAATTGTTGCATTCCGCAACATTCTTTTTCATAATGTTTTTGTTAGTTTTATATATAGTTTATTCCATATATCATTTTTAGATTATAATGGGTAGTTGTAATTTTATTATAAAGTAATGAGAAAAATTCAAATTCAAGCTAATCTTTTTAAAAAGTCAAGTCAACCCGGCAGAAAAAAACATAAATAAAAAACCGCCCAGGCCAAACCGGGACACCTTATTATTCTAAATCTAAGAAGCATTTTTTGTTAAATCTTTTACCGATACTATACTACATTACATTAAAGTCCCACGTTGGGAAACACTGGTTTAGAGTATATTTTGTTGGATAATATCTGGTGCGTGGTGGCACCAGGAGCAAATTTTTGATGGGTAAGCTCGTTTTTCTGGGGGAAATCTTTGAGCAAATAATTGTTTGTATTCCTTACAACCTTTATAGTTGGCTGTGTGGTTTTCATTACACAGTACGCATTTGACATTTTTGTTCATGCGATCTGTTCATTTGCAGTCTTTGCTGACATGATCGCCATTTTACACATCTTGCGTTTCTGAAACAATAAGATTTAGTGTGACCATAACGTTGACATTTTGTACTCTGTACAATTTTTCTTGTTGGATTTTTGGGCTCAATTTTAACTCTAATTCTGTTTAAAAATTCTATATTGAAGATGTCTTTGATGTTAATGTTTTGTTCCAATTCTACCATAAGCATATGCAGTAAAGCACGAGCAAGTCTGTGCTTAATGTTGGCTATATACACAACTTTGTGTCCATGAGATTCAATGTTGTTTTCGATGTCATCTATATCGGTGCTAAAGTGAATATTTCTAATGACTATTTTAAATGTTTGGTTGGATTTGCTTGGAAAAGAGTGCATCTGTGTATTTTTAATTTTTAAGAGGTTCAAAATTTTGTTATATAGCTGTGCAGTACTCAACTGTATTCTGACTTGAAATGTACCAACAATTTTGTTAGTATAGTTACCTTTGGCGTGTGTTTCTAGTAAATTTGACAAAGGTCTGATGTCTTTAGCATCGTGGACAAAAATTGGCGGTGGTTTTAAGACTACTTCTTCTTCTGTTGGCTCTTGAACATCATTTAAAATTTCAAAGAAATTGTTGGTTAATGTAGGGTTTAACCAATACTCTGCAGATTTATTTGCTTTATGTTTTTTGTACTTAACCTCGATCCATTCTTCAAAGCTTATGATTTTTTATTCTTGTTTGGAAGTCGATGGTAGTTGGTTGTGTGTATTTGAAACATGTGGTGACTCAGAATGAACATTATCTGAAGAATCGTTGGGGTCCGGTTCTGCCTATTTGGATTTTTTATATGAATTTTTTCGCTTTTTTGAGGCATCGGTTGTGAATTAGTTTGTTCAACATCCATATTTTCTTGACAATTAATCGAATTTTCATTCAAATTACTTCTTCGGTTTTTAGCTACTAAATGATGTGATAAATTGAGACGTAATTTTTCTGTGGTTTGATCCGAACATGTTCGCAAATGTAATATGTTATTTGTTGTGGTGGCACAAAAAATATGTGATGTAAACACACTAATTAATATACAAGTTAAGTACACTGTTATATAGGAACAAAGTCTGTCTGTATAGGAACAAAGTAAGCTCAGAAAAAATAAACTATATAAATATCAAACTTTGATTATGGATTGCACTATATAGTTTAATAATTTGACGCAAGAGCATTAACTTTCGTTCGTGTCGAGGATTCGTGTCGACTTGAATAACTGTCCATGATTTATACCCAGCTATTTATTCTTACATATATGTATATAACATGATTAATATATAAATAGAAAAAAAACAGATAAAGAGATTTATGCAATTTGTTACGGATGGGGGTTGGTTAGACCCTTTCGGAATAGCTAATTGAATTGGACTCAATAACTATTCCGAGGAATTGATATTATTGAATATATTAAGTAAAATATTCGACGTTCTCTACGTGCTCGGCGGTCCAGTCGGATGGCGGCTTCGAGTTCGGATATCTCAGTTCGCTTCAAATTCGGACTCTGGGGAAGAAATGAACTTCAAAACACAAATAAGTAACACTTGCACTGATTAAAAGGTATTTATTTCATTAAGTAATAACTAATGATCGAAATATATCACAAAAACACGTATGGAAAGTACAAGTAAAACGGTGTACGTGACCAGCCAACGCGAGAGAGCTATCTCGGTACGTGACCAGCTATCACATCCAAATCTTTTAGGATTGCCAGAAAAAAAGTGTTGTCTGAATATTAAAAATATTCTCTGGCGCCATCTAACAGGTTCTGGCGCAAACATATTCCCCAGTCTAAAAGGGATACCTTTTATAATCCTGTATTTCTTGATATCGGTTGATAGAAAAATAATTCACTATTTTGGAAATTGGAATGTCTTGTCACAGTTTTAGTTATTGAAAAGGTAAAGGACAAAGTTTGACCACCGGTCGCTTAACTAGTGTGTCTCCAATTTTGACTGATGCTACTCTCACTATTCCATCGTCGCCTGGAAAAACTTCTTCGATCCTTCCTAATCCCCAATGTAATGGTCGTGTATTTTCTTGTTTAACAATTACCAGATCATCCTTTTTTATAGGATTGGTTACAGTGTTCCATTTTTGACGAACCTGTAATTCAGTAAGATATTCTCTACTCCATCGCTTCCAGTATGATGCGACTATTTGGTCTAATAATTGCTTTCTTTTCGACAAATTTAAGTTTTCATAATCAACCGGCATATCCGACAGTGGTTCTTGCATCAAAAAATGTGCCGGTGTAAGGGGTTGTGGATCCGATGGATCGCTACTCTGCCAACATAACGGTCTTGAGTTTAGTAAAGCCTCGATTTGATTGAGAACGGTAATAAACTCTTCGTAACATAATATTTGTGTGCCCATAACCTTTAACAAATGGTTTTTTACTGATTTAATATTTGCTTCCCAAATGCCCCCAAAATGTGAAGCATGCGGTGGATTAAATTTCCATTCGATGTTATGTGAAATTAAGACTTTAAAATTTGTTTTATACTCATCGGAATTTAACAGAATATATAAGGAATCAAGATTATTTTTTGCACCTATAAAATTTGTTCCACAATCAGAATAGATGCATTCAATGGGACCGCGCCGAGCTAGAAATCGTTTTAAGCAATCTAGAAACGTATCACTTGTCAAATCAGAAGCTAGCTCGAGATGTATAGCTTTGGTAGCTAAATAAATAGAAAGGCATATAGTAGTCTTGTATGTTCGAAAGTGAAGCGTTATATGGAGGCATAGAATATCAATTCAATCAAAATTTCATGAGAAAGAACATTTTTAATAATATTGCGTAAAAGTACTTGAAGGTTGAAGTAAATTTGATATCGAACCCATTATTATATAACCCAGTCGGGTTTCTAGTGCTATAGGTGAACCTTGACCATTTTTCACCTTATTAGTACCCATAACTTCGCTGAAAACATCACATCCTAATATGCCGTCGACCGTTTGAGGCACATAAAACTTTAGATCCGCTAGTGGGTACTTCAAGAATGATTGGATTGATGATACTGGAATCGTGGTTTGTGGTTGTTTTCTCACAATTTCTTGCACAACGTATGCACATATTGGCAATTGATAGGGATTGATTGTGGATTTTAAAGTGAAGTTAACCAATCCTATTACGTTTTGTGACAAATTTCCTAATCCAATTACTTTGGCTGAAACTGGTTGAACTTTCAAATAGGCCTTTCTACACCAAGCTAATGTAACGAAATTTTTATCACTTGCTGAATCAATTATAGTACGTAGTGGATTATTTTTCTTTTTGGTAGAAACCGTTGTTACAGCTGTCGGCAATATTGTTGTATTATGCGCAAGTTTGTTGTTACTGGTAGTGCATAAAACTGTATTATTAGATTTCAAATTAGACGGATTACCTTGATTTGTATTCGCAAGATTCTTATCAATATGCAGTAATGTATGATGCGGTTCCTCACATATAAGACAAGTTCTATTCGATCGACACGCAACTGTCGTCTTATGGCTTAAACAATTCACACATAGATGTAATTTCTGAATAATTGCTCGCCGATCAGGAATATTCATTGCAAGAAATTTTGAACATGTAAATGTTCTATGTTTTTCCCGGCAAACAAGACATTTATAATCATATTTCATGAATGATGACAGTCTAGATGTTGTATTTTTATCATTAGGTTTATCATCTGTGTAATTGTTAGTTATACTTGTCATACCATAAACTTGATTTTTCGCTTGTTGCGACTTATGAAGAAATTTGAGGAGATCTTGGTATTTAGGAAATTCTCCTTGATAAGAATGCTCAAATTTCTCCTGCAAAATGGGATCGAGTTTTGAGAATGCCATAGACGTTATCATAAAGTCAAATGCATCTTGAAGATTTAATTGTGAAAGGGCTTGTACGGCTGTATCGAATTGTTCCAGAAATAGGTCTATTTGTGATGATGTAATAGTTTTAAACGATAAGAGCTGTTTAAAGTAAGTGGTGGCTAAATATCTTTTATTCTGGTATTTTTTTAATAGTGCTTCCCATAAAATCGGATAATTATTTGCAGTTGGTAGTATGAAATTAAAAATTTTTAATACCGAACCTTCTAACGCACCTTTTAAAAAATGAAATTTGGATACGTTATCTAATCTTGTATTTTCATGAATTAATGCTCTAAAGGTTTCATAAAATAAAAGCCATTGTTGTATATTGCCGGAAAATTTTGGAACTTCTATGGATGGTAAATGATGATTTGGAACACTGTCCGGTATTGGCGAATTACTTATATTTTGATTATCCAACATTTTTTCTATATGTTTGATTTTTCCGTACAAAATTTCCAAGGCCCTCATGTCGGCATACTCAAGTACAAAACTCGGATCCTCTAAATATCTTAATTTGTTTATTTCGTCGCTTAATTTTATGCATTGTTCTCGAGCATTTTCAATAAGGTGTAATTTTTCAAGAAATTTTAACTTACTTGCCGTATTGGTGGTAATTTGTTGAGAAATGTCATACGTTTCTTGTATTATTGAAAAATACATTTTGCTCTTCGCTGTCATTCGGTTAATCTCTGCACCCACGTCAAATTTAGGTGCCATCTGGGATTTTATTTTCTTAATATATTCAATAAATCCCAATCAAAATTAGGATCCCGGCGTCGAAGGACCAATGTTACGGATGGGGGTTGGTTAGACCCTTTCGGAATAGCTAATTGAATTCGACTCAATAACTATTCCAAGGAATTGATAGTATTGAATATATTAAGTAAAATATTCGACGTTCTCTACGTGCTCGGCGGTCTAGTCGGATGGCGGCTTCGAGTTCGGATATATTAGTTCGCTTCAAATTCGGACTCTGGGGAAGAAATGAACTTCAAAACACAAATAAGTAACACTTGCACTGATTAAAAGGTATTTATTTCATTAAGTAATAACTATTGATCGAAATATATCACAAAAACACATATGGAAAGTACAAGTAAAACGGTGTACGTGACCAGCCAACGCGAGAGAGCTTGTTCACCCGTCAGATCAGCCATAGATAAATAAGTATAAATAGATGGCAAACACGGCCGCTTTGATGTTACATCAATTATAATTCTTTCAGCATTCAATAGATGTCGCCACCAACTGTAGCACGTAAATTTACCATTAGGTTCAATTCTAGATAAGATTTATTTGAATATATAATATAGAATAGATACTTCTGATTAATTTGACTAAATGAAATTAGAACAAAATACACGCGTATCAAATATATTTTCAACAAAATCACAAATATCTTGTAAAAAATCTATGATGAGATAAAATTAAACATTTTTTCCATTAAAAAAAATATATATTTCAATATATAAAAAATATAAAATTGGTCATTTACGTGTACTATATCTAGAGAGACTGTATTTTAAACTGTGTGTGCTGAATTTGAAGCACACCAGCACCATCTGCTGAATGCTGAAAACACTCAAACCGTGTAACGCGTATTTGTTCTATGTTTACCCCCCATGAGATCAGCTATCACATCCAAATCTTTTAGGATTGCCAGAAAAAAAGTGTTGTCTGAATATTAAAAATATTCTCTGGCGCCATCTAACAGGTTCTGGCGCAAACAAATTTATTATTTATAAGTATACTACACATGTATTTTACGTTTGAATTATTTAATATATAAATGACAACACAAAAAACATAATAAGACTATAAAGACTTTATTTAATGAATAGTTCTTGCATATTTTGCAATCTTGCTACTACTATAGTAGTATTATAGTAATAATATATTATTACTATCTCCCACAAAAAATCAACAAAATAGAAGTGACGCTTATAATTTCTAATTTCTAACTTTAAATTTTCACGCTGCATAACTCGAATAATTAGAACGAAATACCGATAGCCTAATACTGCCAATCACCAAAAAAATGAAAAACAATGTTAAGATATTAACGTATATCTTTAAGTTAAAAGAAATCTTTAAGTTAAAAGCAATAAAAATTTGTTGAGAGATTACCTATTACCATAGATAAAAGAAGAGTATATTGCCTATTACCATAGATGACCATAGACTTTTTAACCATTGACCATTTTGACCATTTAGTACTTGCTTATTTATCTATGATTTAGTAGATGAAGAAACTGTGACGTCACTTGCTGATTGAAATAAAACATATTAACACCACCTTAAATCAGGCTAAGAATTTTGACATTTGCATATTTCAGCCAGCATGAAGTTGGCGACGAAATAGAAGTTAGACGTCAAGTTGAAATGTATTGGATTCATAACTTTGACAGCTAAAACCTGTCAAGATCATTATTATCATAGCCAAACAAGTATTATTATTATTATATTGTCTAATATCAAGATGATAGCCTTTATCTTAGACAATATATTACGTTAAAATACAATATATCTTGTTCCCTCATAGCAAATATTGCAGAAAAAACGAAATATATCTGTCAATTCCAAGACAGTATGAAGTATTTTGGTTTAGTATTATAACATCAGAAGTGTTTCAATTTTATTTCATTTACTGAACCTTCTATTTGTTGTTTGTTGAGTTTTAGTTAGCTTCCACTGAATTAAGGTTAAGATCGTAACCAAACCTAATAATGTATTCAACGTAACCCTTACAAAAATAATGAATAAAATGTAACCCTATGCGTAAAACGTAAGCCTAAATTATTTTTTAAAACAAAATTATAACTAAAACATTGTATAAAATCTAAGCTAGACTTAAAATAATGAATAAAATGTAACCCTATGCGTAAAACGTAAGCCTAAATTATTTTTAAAACAAAATTATAACTAAAACATTGTATAAAATCTAAGCTAGACTAAAATAATCTTTGAATGAAAAGAATCCTAAAACATAACCCTAAAATGTAAAAATTAAAATAAGAACTAAATAGGCGCGTAATCAAAAAGCCAAAGCGAATAAACTTGAACGGACATAAAAAAATAAACACAAAAGAATGAATCATAACGAAAAGCTAAAAATATTAAATATGAAACAAGTCTACTTAATAAAAAACAATACGCCGACACAACGCTGATATAAAAATGAACAAAATGGCCGACGCGCTCTTGACATCTGAAATGCTTGACAGCTTGATATCAGTCTTCGCCGGCAACTTCATGCTGGCTGAATTATGCAAAGTCTTAGCCATGGCCGGTAATCTCCGAACAAAACTCTGTAGCTCGATTTTAGTTTGAGCTGCTCTCCCTTGAAGCGCTCTTGCAGCGATTTGGCACTCATCTGGTAAGAATTTCAACGCGGGCAATCAAACAATTTCGAGAACGTTCGGTTGCGTTTATAAGTGATTAGGATTAGTTTGCAAGCAAAATGTCGATGTGTTACGTTCCAGGGTGCACTAATACCAAAAAATGCAAAATTGCATGTATTTCCAGCGAGAAATGACAAAGTACGCAATAAGAATAAAATAACCAAACATTAATCACAAATAAATATTGTTTTGGATATTGTAGACGTTTGCTATTTGGCTGGTCCAAACTAGTGTTTTCTACTAGAACCTATGTAGTATGTAAAATGATTAATAATATTTACGGGCCTTATACAATAAGTAAGTATTTTTATCAATATGCATACTTCAAAATACTTGCATCTATTACTACTAGTCTGATATAAGTTTTTATTATAGCATAATAACTGAGACATTTAACAATGATAGGAATTTTAAGGTTATAGTTATTGAAAGATAAAATTGCCGTCAGACTAACCAACTCACTGATAGGTAAGTTTTTAAGAATTATTCTTGTACTAATAATAAAGGTTTATAATAAATGATTTAACATTGATTTTTGTCAGCAGTTTTTCTCTTGGAAGTAGTTATGAAACGGGTTTACTAAACACAAGTATTGATATGAGATGAATAAACAGGGAAAAACATTAATAAAGAAATTACAAGCCAGTCTGAAACATGCTGAAATATTTGCTGATCTCCCACTGGCATTGAATAATAGTAATCATAATAATATATTAAGTCGGCTAAGAGAAGATACTGAATTATTAAATGGAAAGAAATTCATGCTTAATGATAAAATTCTAGCTGAGGGGTAATTTCGGTTTGGCTATGTTCCACGAAAAGTTTGTGAGTAGTGATAGTTGCATTTTGATATTACACAGAAATATTATTATCTGCGTTGTTTAATGATCGTAAAGATAATCACATTGTACAGATTGACAGGAACTGTCAAATGGAAGAAAGTATATTTGCTAATCTCTTTTTTATTTAGAGGAATAAAACTCCATTAACGTGCACCCCTTATTTCTGATAGAGATGTTATTCTTAAATGTGTTATTGAAGATGCCATAAGAAAACTATTAAGTACTTGTACATTGCTATTAATAATTTCCTTTTTTTATGTTAATGATGATAATGACATTTTGTTCAACATTCAAATGAACATCAACACTAGTCGTAGAAAATATTAACAGAAACAAAACAGTAACTTAATTGTTAATTAGCATTATTCGAAAAAAATATAAACTGAGTTGCTTGAGAAGATTATCGTATGCATTAATTTTGCAAATGATTTTTAAATATATTTATTTTTTACTTTTTATATGAATATAATTATTTTTCTCTTTTTAGTTTCTAGAAATTTTGTTACTTTTGCGAATAATGAAAGAGATCCGATAGCTTCTCAAATTTTTGCAAATAATGAAAGATATCCGATAGTTTCTCAAATTTTTTGATTTATTTATTATTGAGATCGAATTATGAGATGTGTTTAAATTATTTATCTTAATCTAATTGTAATTATGAGTAATCTTTGCTCTAGAAATATACCTATAAATATAGATATATATATATATATATATATATATATATATATATATATATACATATATATATACATATATATACATTTTTATTTCTTTTGTGTTTAGCTTATAAGGATGAATCTTTTGTAACCATGTGTGTAAAATACTATTGTTAAAAATAAATGTTTTTTAAAATTCAATTTCTTTTTTTTTTAATTTTGAATTCAAACGGTCTATAATATTGGTGCATTTCTATTGGCTATGTGCGAAGGCATGGAAGGGGAAGTCAAATCGACCGAAGCGTTCGTAGTGGCTAACTTGGAGCACTAAAAGGGGCTATTATAAACAAAATTTTAAACAAAAACACATAAAATATTTATTTATTTCAAATTTAAATAAGATAATTAAAAATGAGCCACCATAGCTGTTCTGTAGTGGGCTGTAGAAATACCAGCAGAAAAAGTGACTGCAAATTCTATACATTTTCTACAGCTAAGTGGAAAGAAAATCAACGGGAAAAGTGGATCGCAGCGGTTAGAAGAATAAAGTAAGTATCATAACCTTA